TGCCCCTTCCTCTGTGTGCTTGCTTTCCCCGCTCCAGGGCCTCTCCCCCTCCCGCACCTTCTCCTGGCCAACCTTGGCCCACGCTTCAGGTCTCAGTGTGACCACCTCTCCTCCTGGACGCCTTCCTTGGCCCCCCGTGTCTGTGTAGGTGCCACTGTGCTGTGCTTACAGAGAACCCCCAGACCAAACGCCCCGCTGTTCACTTCTGTGCCTCATTGGCCTGAGAGGAGAAACGGCACCTGCTGTGTGGATTTTTGTACCTCCAGCTCCTGGCTCAGGGCCCACGGAGTAAACCCTGAGTACCTATGAGTTGAAAGCATGGGTGAGGTGTGTTGACTTCGGTGCTAAGAGCTCTCAGCTTCCTCCTCTGCTTTATGCATGAAGTGGTCAGCTCTGGCCTCAGAGGGGTGACCTCAGGTGACTGGTGAGAGCAGAGGGCTGGGGTGCGTTCTGTCCCAGACTAAGGGCTTCGTGATGGTAGGAGGGCAACCTACACGAGCTTGCGCAGGAGCAGCTTAGAGCCGAGATGAAGCTCAGGCTTTCTCCTCCAGGCACAGAGGGAGAGAGCATCCCCACCTACGTGCCGAGAACCAATCAGGGCTTTTGAAAATGTCCGGATCTGGTTGGACCCAACTCAGCTGACCTCCTTCCCCGGCCCCTCTCCCTGTCCTTTCCCGGTCACATGTTCTCAGAGCTATGTATCTCACAGGAAACGTCTGCCAATTTCATGCTGTCGGTCTCCTCCGAGTTGAGGTCAGAGGCGGCCTGGGTTTGAAATGGCTTTTAGGGCTCTTGGAAGGCTCTCGGCTCTGGGCATTTTTGAGTAACACCGAAGAGCCCTCCACTTTTGGGCAGGTTCCAGCTCAGGCCACTCTCCTTCCCTTCCGGGCCTTGTACCCAGGCAGACTTGGGCTTAAGAGAGGATGGAATTCTGGGGGAACTGTTTGCTGTCGGGGAGGGTCGCCTGCTCACACCCCACCTGGCAAGGTCAGTCCCAACAGCCACTGCGCTTCCCTCCCGGGAAAGCTGAAGAGCCAGCGTTCGTAAAAATCTGTCTCATCAACAGCGTGACCTACCAGCATCGATCACACTCGCATCGATGCCAACACACCGTCCCCGTTGTGCACCGAGGGGCAAGGCCCAGAGGAGCTCAAAAAGCCACTTCAATCCGCCCACGGTGACTTCTCCAAGGGCCTGAAACATCCCCCCCAACGAATAACCCCCAGCAAAGCGCTGCCGGGAAAATTCCTTGCGGATTTGAGATTTCCACTCTTAATCTCCTAAAGCAACGAAGCAAACACCCCTGCAGCAAACTAAGTCCTTTTATGAAAGGGTCCCCTCCTCCGTCCTCTTTGGTGTGGGAAGGGACCCTCTCAGGGCCTGCATGTCTGGGCAAGGCGTGGCCGCACGCCCCACCGTTTCCTCCTGTTACTCCAAGGAGCCCCAGATCCCACCAGAATGTGTTGATCTGCGGATTCTGGGAACTTCTGAGACCTCGGACTTCCTTGAGGAAATTCGACAGCCTGTCAGCTGGGGGAAATGCTCCCCGTTCTCCTGTGCGGGGTGACAGGTCTCAGACAGGCCTGGCCCCGAGCACCTCTATCTTTCCAGTTGCCGGAGGAGGCCCCAGCCCAACTGTGGGGCCAAGTGGGCGTGGAGGCCAGTGATCAAACCCTTCCCTGGCCTCTCTAGAAGCCCGCAGGTCACACCCCCAGTAGGTGGGGTCAGCTGGAGAGAAGATCAAAGGAGGCTGGGGCAGAGAAAGGAGACCCTGGGAAGAAGGCCCTGACTCCCTTCTCCCACTGCTTCTCACCCCCAGGTCATCCCTCAAGCTGCTGCCTCTCAGATCTGCCAGGAATGTGTTCAACCATTTTATTTTTTTTTTAATTTTTAAAAAAATATATTTTATTGATTTTTTACAGAGAGGAAGGTAGAGAGATAGAGAGTTAGAAACATCGATGAGAGGGAATCATCGATCAGCTGCCTCTTGCACCCTCCCCACTGGGGATGTGCCCACAACTAAGGTACATGCCCTTGACTGGAATCGAACCTGCGACCTTTCAGTCTGCAGGCTGACGCTCTATCCACTGAGCCAAACCGGTTTGGGCTCAACCATTTTATTTTATTTTTATTTTATTTTATTTTATTTTATTTTATTATTTTATATATATATATATATATATATATATATATATATATATATATATATATATAAAATTGATTTTTTACAGAGAGGAAGAGAGAGGAATAGAGAGTTAGAAACATCAATGAAAGAGAATCATCGATCAGCTGCCTCTTGCACACTTCCTACTGGGGATGTGCCCGCAACCAAGGTACATGCCCTTGACCAGAATCGAATCTGGGACCTTTCAGTCTGCAGGCCGACGCTCTACCACTGAGCCAAACAGGTTTTGGCTGTTCAACCATTTTAAGTCACCACTTGCCTCTCACTATTAGTTTGAAGTTATACTGCGCCCCGCTCCCCACCCCAGCATCCTTCCATGCTGCCCCTAGGAAACCTGCCCTGTGGGAAAGCCACCAGCTTGCAGGCACCTTTGTATTTCAGGAGCCTCCTTCTAGGAACGTCATCATCTGTAATTTATCAATTTCATTGCCAGGTCTGTAGTGTGGATGCTCTGTGGATTCTGGAAAGTGGGTACTCTATCTACAGGGATGGGCAATCAGGTCTCTGAGAGACTATATGTGGGTATTCTATTTATGGGGATGGACAGTTGGGTCTCTGAGGGCCCTGAGGCCTTAGCAGCAAGGGCCAAGTGTGTGTGTGTGTGTGTGTGTGTGTGTGTGAAAGAGAGAGAGAGAGAGAGAGAGAGAGAGAGAGAGAGAGAGAGAGAGAGAGAGAGACCCTCAGGGAAGTCTGGTTCTGGGAGTTATTGCCAGGAGTTCTGGATGCAGACCTTGGCCATGGTGGGAAGAAGGCACCCTCCCCCAACTGGGCTCCTGAGAAGGCCATTCTCAACTTCTCTTCTTTCTATCTGTTCACTTGAACAGAAAGGCCCCTGCTCAGGGAGGCACTAGCCCCGCACAGACATTAAGTCACAATAGCCCAGGCTGGGGCCAGGTCATTTGAATGTCCTCCCAACTCTTATCAGACCTAGATAGACTCCCCAGGTTCTGTGGCTGTCCCCCTTTATCTCCCATTCAGTGGAATTACCTCCAGATTTATGTCCTCCCATGGGCATCAAGAATTCCTGGGAGTTTGAGGAAGGAGAGAGAGGCAACTGGCAAAACGAGGAAAGCATGACAAAGTGCGTTAAGTCTTCAAGTTGGGGAATCATACAGGCCTGGGCTGGAATCCAGATCAGCTACCTGCACACTCTGACCCTTGCAAACTATTTGCCCCTCTGAACCTCAGCATCTTCATCGGTAAAATGGGGATAATGGTTCCCACCTTCTGTCGTGTCATTGTGCAGCCTGAATGAGATGAGCCTGTGAACTGTTCAGCACGTGATAAGGGCTCACTGAATGGGCTGATTAAAAGAGGCCTCGTGGCTTCCAGATAGAGATTGGGCCCAGCCATGAGGCTAGAAATTCCTTCCTTCCCTGAGGCCAAGGAGGACCTGCTAGTCCTCCCAATGGCCTTTCTTCCAGGAGCGACTGGAGCTGGGGATGTTAAAATTCGTTTCCCTGTGTTCTGCAGAGCAACTACCCAGGTGAATGAGGGTGGTGGGCAGAGAAGGACCCAGGACATGGTTGGGAGCAGCTGCCAGGCTCTGGGCATCATGGCGGCCACCAGGCAGAGCCAGTCCTGGGCACAGGTGGTCCATGCATTCTCTACCGGGAGATGTGAGCCCCGACAGGGTGAACATGGATCTTGGAGGAGCAAACACGTTTTAGGTATTACCATGGTTGTGGCACTCCAAAGCTCAACCCTCCCTGGCAAAATCTGATTTCTTAGTGGTATTTCATTTCTCTCATTAGAAATAGAGTCAATTCTAATTTAACAAAGTTAGCTTACATTAAAATTTCCTTGGCGTGGGGGACGCTAATTGTAAAAAGGTTAAGACTAGATGGTTTGGCTCAGTGGATAGAGCATCAGCCTATGAACTGAAGGGTCCCAAGTTCTATTCCAGTCAAGGGCACATGCACCCAGGTTGTGGGCTTGAACCCCAGTAGGGAGTGTGTAGGAGGCAAGTAATCAATGATGTTTTCTCATCATTGATGTTTCTCTCTCTCTCCCTCTCCCTTCCTCTCTGAAATCAATTAATAGGTATATACAAAGAGAAAAAAAGAAAGAAGGTCAAGAAACAAGTATGGTCTGTCTTCCAGAGTCTCTCAACTTCCTTCCCAGGCTCCCTCCTCCTCTCACCAGCCCCTCCTGCTGCCTCCTACCATATCCTTCCTTCTCCTTGGGTTCCTGGCAGCATTTGGCACTGCTGACCAGTCCAGTTCAGAGGTCACTCTGTCCCAGGGTTTGGCCAGCACTCCTCCTCACCCCGATCTTCCCTAGGCGCCTGTGACTCCACCATGTGGCTCCCCCTCTTCTCTTCCTTCTTCTGCCCCCTAGACAGCTCTCTGCTCCCCACACAAGCTTCACCGTGCCTCAGGCTGCTCCAGCACCCACTGGAGCACACCATCTGGATTCTTCCTGACACACATTCTCTCCCTTCCTATCCACCCCGGCTGGCTTAGTGCATCCCCTTCTCCTGTAGCATTTAGTTTGAGCCATTTGACATAAAATAACATATGCCCTTGTATTAGTCTTTTGTGGTCTCATGGGTGTCAGATCTATCTTCCCATTTGGATTTTAATTTCTTTGAGGATAAAGACGAGGTCATAAGTCTTTGTTTGCTCCTTAGTGTCTAACCCAGTTCTGGATACCAAGGAAGGCAGATGGGAAGGTCTCTATGGGCCAGAAAGTGCCCTGCAAAACTCAAGTTGCCAAGTGCCACTGGTCAATGATCCGCCCACCAGAAGAGCCAGCCCAGCCTGGGCCTAGGCAGACTGCAGTGGGCCGCCCCCCATCCCAGTCTCCTCCTCACCTGGCTGACTCCTTCCACTCCATCTGGTCTCCGTCGTGCTGCAGAGTATCCATCTCTGTGAAGAGGGTGGGGTTGGGAGCCTCATCTTCCTCCCCCAGGATGTCCTGGAGCTGCTCAGCAGCTGGAGACCCTGCAAACGGAGGACAGCAGGCCCGCTGAGTGCCCCGTGGGGGACAGAGGGCTGCAAGGCCGACTGAAATGGTACAGGAGCCAAGCACAAGGGAAAACATTTCCTAAGTAAGTAAAACGAGGGCCGGCTTCTGGGCCAAGCTGGGTTCAAGCCTCCGTGAGTTGCATGTGCGTGAGATATTCTTTGGGAGAACAGAGATGAAAGGATCTAGTCTGTATTCAAAACCTAGGGTCCTGTAGCTGATAATGAAGGATGGGAAGTGGCCAGTGCCAGGCCAGCAGCGAGGATGGAGAACAGGATAGAAAAGGGAATCTAGGAAATCTATGGCCTCATTTCAGTGCAACAAACACAGAGGGACCCCTTTCCCGCCAGCCCCACGCCAGTCACCTCCCACAGGTGGCCTTGAAGGAGAGACTGCCATGCACAAGGACGCACTTCACCAGGAGCCACCTGAGCCAGCTTCCTACATGGGCAAGATGGCAGCCTGTTCCTGAGCTCTGGTCTGCTTTCCAGCTGCCCGCGGATGTCATCTCTCAGACAAGTCTCCGGAACCTCAGAAGTTGGCATTCCTACACTGAACATGTACCCTTCCCCAGACATGCTTCTCCTGTTTTCCTTTTCTCCCTTCCTCCCTCCCTTCCCCCACTTCCTCCCCTCTTCTTCCCTCCTTCCTTCCCTCCCTCCCTTCCTTTCTCCTTCCCTTCCTTTCTCTCAATATTTAATGAATGTATATTATGCACCAGGCATTGTTCTAGGTGTTGGAAAACAAAGCTAGGAAGAAGGCTCATATGTTCTTGCTCTCTTAAATAGTGGGAGAGATAGACAATAAACAAATCCATAAACAATTATTTCAGGTAGTGATAAGTGTTCTGAAAAAAAAACAAAATAAAATGACCGGGAGCTGCGTTAGCATGGCCAGGAGTGGCCTCTTGAAGGGGGTGGCGGGTATTCGAATTGTGATGTAAAAGGAGGAGCCCCTGTGCATTTGAAGAAAGAGTGCTCGGGATGTGAGCTCGATCCCCAAAGAGGGTGTGCAGGAGGCGGCCAATCCCTGGCTCTCTCTCATCATTGATGTTTCTATCTCTTGTTATCCTTGAACCAATAGTTAATAAAAGCAATCAAACCAGCAGGACTATACAGCGATGCTCGGGCTTAATTCTCTGGGACATCAGTGGTGCTGAACACTCCCTCGGAACGGAAATGCTACGCTTGGCTCTCACAACGCTACACTTTTTTTTTTTTTTTTTTTTTTAGTATATTTTATTGATTTTTTACAGAGAAGAAGAGAGAGGGATAGAGAGTTAGAAACGTCGATGAGAGAGAATCATCGACCAGCTGCCTCTTGCACACCCCCTACTGGGGATATGCCCGCAACCAAGGTACATGCCCTTGACTGGAATCGAACCTGGGACCTTTCAGTCCGCAGGCTGACGCTCTATCCACTGAGCCAAACCGGTTTTGGCAGAACACTACACTTTCTTGATATTTTTTCCTGTCTCTTTGAGGACTGCTTTGCCTTCCTTCTTCCCTGATTCTCCCCAGGTCACCCATGTCTCCAGGCCCTGCCTGAATCAAGTGTCTCCCACTGCCAACTGGACTGCTCCACCTGGGAATCGTTAAGTCAGACTCAGCATATTCAAAACAGCTCTGCATCCCTTGTTGCAACCCCCCAACCCTGCCCTCCTCTGTTTGATTAATACACCGCTAGCTACCCAGCCACCCAGCGGAGAAATGTTGGACTCACTCCAGAGCCTCCTTTTCTTTCACCATCCAGGTCCGATCAGACCCTGACTTCGTTCATTTGCTTCCTCAATATTTTTTACCCCGCTCCCTCTTCCCCCACCCTCCCATTGCCACCGTCCTGGCTCAGGGTCCCATTATTTCCTATTCCAGTCACTGCAATAGCCACCTAACTGCTCCCCCCACCACCACCACTGCCACCAGCTTCTGGGAGCCCCATACACTTCCATCTCCTAGGTAGCAGCAGAGTTTGCTTTTATAACATTTCAAACCTGTTCACATGGCAGACTCCAGAGAATCAGGGCAGCACCATGAAGTACTGTGCATATAAGTTAGAAATAATTTTACTAGCAGAAAAGACTATTTGTGTATCTGTATCTAGTTCAATAGATCTCATTTATTTAAATAGACTTTATTTTATTTTCTGTTACTTTAAACTTACTCACCCCCCCCCCCCCCCCGGCTTTTTAATCGCTGACACTTGCTAGCAAACATCAGAGGTCTACGGAAACTTTATAGAAGGAAAACTAACAATTGAACAAATAATCTTACTTTTTTTTTTTTTTTTTTTTTTTTTTTAATTGGGAGAAGGCTGACTGCTAGCACCCTAATTCTCCGTGTGATCAGAGTTCAAGAGCTACTCTTCTACAACGTAGTTTTGGTCATGTTACTCTCTAGGTGAAAAACCTTCAATGGCATGGCTCAAACATTCCTTGTGATCTGGACCTAATTTGTTTTTCTAGGTTCTGTCATGGCCCTCACCCAGCTGCCCTTCACCCCAGCCATCCTTGACGCCAGACTCTAGCCACACTTGAACCCAGGTAACCTAGACCTGTGGTTGGCAAACTGTGGCTCGAGAGCCACATGCGGCTCTTTGGGCCCTTGAGTGTGGCTCTTCCACAAAACACCACGGCTTGGGCGAGTCTATTTTGAAGAAGTGGCATTAGAAGAAGTTTAAGTTTAAAAAATTTGGCTCTCAAAAGAAATTTCAGCCGTTGTACCGTTGATATTTGGCTCTGTGGACTAATGAGTTTGCATTACCCTTACCCAGAAGTTTTGACTTCAGGTTAACTTCTTTAGTACATTATTAAAATGTTTTTTTTTTAAGTGTTTTTCCCTAAGGCAGTTTGCCAAACACTGCCCTTCACCCCACATGACCTTGACCCAGACACAGCAATCACACACAGTTCTCTGAAAAGGAGGACATATCACTCCTGGGACCTTAGCGCCTACAATTCCCTGAGTCCGGAGCCCCTTTCTCCCTTCCAGGCCAGATAAGAAGGCAAGTAAATGGAAAAGTATTGGAAAGACGAGACAGGGCCGGGAGAGGATCCCTGAAGGAGCCCTGTCCGGGCATTACCTGCTCCCTGGAACGGCCAAGTGCGGGGGTCTCCGGCTGCCGGCACTGCCTCTGGCCCCAGCCTGTTTCTGCCGTTGCCACCCCGACCACTGCCTCCACAGGTCCGCTCACTTTTGTTTCCAGTTAAGCACCAAAGGAGGCATGGGGTGAAGAGAGGCGGGCGAGGGAGGTGCGGGGAGAGAGAGAAGGAAAAGGATGAGTGACTGGGAAGCTGGAGACAGAGGACTAGTTGTGAGAGAGAAGAGAGATGTAGTTAGTGTGAGAGAGAAAAACTATACTGAAAGGGAAATAATGAAACTGTGAGTATGAGAGAAGTGTGTACATGTGAGAGAGATTGTGTATGTGTGTGTGTGTGAGAGAGAGAGAGAGAGAGAGAGAGAGAGAGAGAGAGAGAGAGAGAAGAGGGAGGGAGGGAGACTCAGGTGCCCTGGGAGAGAAGGACTCCGTGGCTGCAGCAGAGCTCAGGAAGGCAGCCACGGCTCTGAGGGGCCTGACAGACTGCCCCTCCCCCTTCCCCATGAGCCCTTCCCACAGTGCCCGGCTCTCCTGGAGCCCCGGGCACCTCTCCTCAGCCCCTTTATAAGGCAGAGGTAGGATTTGCCTTGAGACTCCCCGGGGCCTCCTTAAGAGCCTTGGCGGCAGGTGAGCTGGCTGGAGAGGCCTGGCAGGCAGGGCTAAGCCCCATAGCCCTGGCGTGGAGGTGGGGTGTTGGGGAGAAGGCTGCTGGGGCAGGAGGGGGGGTCTCTCACATTTCACAGCAACCACGCCTGGTGCTAGTTTCTCTCCTCCTAACTTGAAACGCTTCTCCTCCTCTTCAGCCACTTCTAACTAAGACAAGTCCCAGATGTCCCCACTCAGGGGGAGTTTCCTGCGAGTCCCCGGACGGACGGTGGGAACCGGTCACTCTGGGCGCGTGGCAAACCCCACCAGGAATCACTGCTCTGCCGAGAAATTCCTAATCTCCTGGGCTCAGTCCAGCGGGTGCTCACTGAGCACTCAGAACGCGCCAAGGTCGACTAGAGGTCACTGCGCGGAGGCTGCTGAAGCCTGAATTCACGGAGGCTTAGAGCTGGCAGAGAGCTTAGCAGGTGCCTAGCACAAAGCCTTCAAACCAAGCCCCAGTGTGCGGCACAGAAGGGCCCACAGGTCGGGCGAGGGGAGCCTGGAGGAGAACCCAGTCTGCTGACCGCCGCCCCCTACCCCGCCCTCCCCACCCCTTCCACCTCCTGCCCCGCTGGCTGCCTCACTCACCACATTTCCAGACCTGAAGCTCAAGGGTCTAGTATGGTCGCTCTAAAGCTGAGAAAACAGCAGAGAGGACCAGGGGCATGTGTGTCGGCGCAGAATCTAAGCAAACCCCGCCATCCAGGAGCTCCTGCCTTGGCAGGCTCCTCAGCAGGCAGGACCCTGAGCGGCTGGGTCCCTTTGGGGCCCCAGGCCCACGGCTCACACTGCGCGGGGGCTGCTGTGGGCCCAGCCGCTCCTGCACCACAGGGCAGCCTCTGCACACCGCATGCCGGGCTCTGTGGGCGACCTGGACCCTCCGAGAAATGCCAGAGACCACCCAGGGTGCCAGAGGGTTCTCTCTACTTGTGTGATTCTTCCTCAGCCCAGATCTGGGTTCCACTCCTGACTCCCGTTCGTTACGAGCAGAAGGATCTCGGCGAAGCACTACATTCTCTGAGGCTTCGTTTCCCCATCATCTAAAAAGTGAGAATTTCCTCACTCCCCTCACTGGACTGTGCTGGACAATGAGATGCGATGCGCGGTGTGGTTGGCACAGTGCTGGGCATGCACCAGCCACCCAAGAAATGACGTCACGATTTTTGTTGTTGCCAACAAGTGACACCTTCCTCCCTGATGACCATCTCCAGCCTGGCCTTTCTAACACTCCAAGGGCTCGATCCTTCTTAATTTCTACACGGCCATGGTACCCCCACGGTGATCTCCTACGCTGCACCCTGCACCCCTCTCCTCTGTCTGCTCCTCCCTCCCGCCCAGGGGAGGGTTAGCCCGCCAGGTGCTGGGCTCCTGGACCAGGTGGCTGTAACGTGCAGCGTTCTATAGCGTTTAGTGACGCACAGCACCTTAGGGTGCCCTCCGTCCCGGTTTGCCTGGAACTGACCTGGCCTTAGCACTGCAGGTTCCACATCCGTTGTCCTGGGAAACCCCAGGGTCCCAGGCAAACAGAGGCAGTTGGTCATCCCACAACCATCTCCCCGTCTACAGATGAAGATACCGACTCCAGGGACTACACAGCCCGGGGGGCTTGGCTGATTGTGTTTCTCTTAGATCTTGGCTTCGGGTCTTATCACCGGCCTAGAAAAGTGGAAATGCAACCCCATTTCTAACGCTGCTTCTGTCCACCTGCTCCTCAGGCCTCTCCGGAGGTGCTCGGGGCCAGAACAGGCATTGTCTCCAGGGCAGGAAGCATCGTTCTTACTGGCTCTCACCACAGCTTGACAGTTCTGTTCCCCATTTACGCTCTGCTTGAGTTTCAATCGATGGGCTGCCGAGTATTGACTTTCTAAAATTATACTCCCATTGGGGGAAGGGGAGGTATGGAGAGAGAAAGAATAAACAAACCAACTGCTAAGGCATTTCATTCACTTCCTACCCATTCCTTTCACCGCACGGCAGCCGGCTGCTTGGAAGCATGGCCTTCGCAGCCTGTGCGGAATACGGCGACTGAGCAGCACGGTCTCACCAAGGACAGCCGTGGGGCCGGAGGGGCACCCTCAGGCTTTGGAGTCAACAGCCCTGTTTTCAAACCCCAGCTTCACTGATTACAGCTGGGTCACACTCACCCTTGGAGCCCTGATGTCTCCATTTGCAGATGGGAGAGTAACAGCTCCCTGTTGCAAATACTATACAATTTTTAACAGAATTATAATGAACTGCCATTTCGTGGTACAACCCCTCTGAATTCTGGCTGTCACTCCGGGGGCCGGAGCTAAAGGTGACTCCTGTCAGTTCTGCATCCACACAGCCTGCCTTACGCTCAGGCCCTGCCACATCTAACCGCCGGCCCGGCCCAGGCCCCCACATTCTGCATGGACCCCGTCTGGTGTTGCGGGAGTTCCCACTGGGCCTACGTGGCCAGGCCAGCTGGACCTCCTGCCTGGGCTGTCTGGATGGATTCACAGAATATACAGGACACTCAGAGAGGAGAATACACGTGGTCAGGTGCTCTACAGCAAGGAGAAGCAGAAGATTCAGACAATTATCTAGATCCGTGGTCTGCAAACTGCAGCTCGTGAGCCACATGCGGCTCTTTGGCCCCTTGAGTGTGGCTCTTCCACAACATACTACAGCTTTGGCAAGTCTATTTTGAAGAAGTGGTGTTAGAAGAAGTTTAAGTTTAAAAAAATGTGGTTCTCAAAAAAAAAAAAATTTCAATCGTCATACTGTTGATATTTGGCTTTGTGGACTAATGAGTTTGCCGACCACTGATCTAGATGGTGCAGGTAAAAGGATTCTGGCAAATATATATATATACCAGTATATAAAAATTATATATATATATTTTTTTAAATTTTATTTTTATTTTCTTTTTTAATTTCAGAGAGGAAGGGAGAGGGAGAGAGAAAAACGTCAATAATGAGAGAGTCATCAATCGGCTGCTTCCCATAAGCCCCCTTCTGGGGACTGAGCCTGCAACCGGGCATGGGCCCTGCCTGGGAATTGAACTGTGACCTCCTGGTTCCTGGGTCAACGCTCAGTCTCTGAGCCTCAGGGACCAGGCTATTCTGCCGTGTTTTGCTCTCCTTTTGCAGGTCATTGTCCCTGGCCCTGCGAGGTTGTGGAGCAGGGACTGTATCTGCCTGAGGCAGTGCCCATTGGCTTGGAAGATGTGAATGATGGAGGGGTCATTCTTTCCCCTTCACAGCCCAGGGAGAATGGCAGGAACAGGTCAGCTGCTGACTTCGTTAGCAGGCTCTGTGGCTCCCTTAAGTCAAGTGCATCTAGAACTGGGTCTGGGATGTATTCTTAGGGGTAGGTGGGTTCTATGGATAGCTTTAAAGTTTGTGCTTCCATGTTGATGATAATCTTTAAAATTTTTCTTATATCAGTAATGGCAGCGATGGAGCAGAGGGGGACTGGGAGCCACGTCTCAGGAGACTCCCTCCTGCCTGGCCACACCAGACAGCTCCACAGCAGACAGCTCCCCAGAATGCACCCCTCCAGAACTCACGGGTCCTGCTGGCATGATCCACACCGCTGTCCCCGCTGCTTGCCCTGCTCCCCACGCCGGTCGGGTCCCTGTCCGGCCACAGGCCCCAGCAGACCTTCTGCTGGCCTGCGGGATGTCCCTTCTGGTCTCTCTTCCTTTGAAGGTAACTGGGGACTGAAAGCCCAACGTGGATGGAATGGCCGTCTGTGGGCACAACACAAGAGGGGGGAAGCCAAGAGTGACGAAAAGTTGACATTTCTCTTTGACAGGCTCCGGGCACAGAGAGCTAAGGGAGACCTGGGATTCCTGGTCTGGGCTTGACAAAACCCCACTCGGTGTTGCAGGAAAAGCCACTAGAACTCCGGCAGCATGAGCAGAACTCCCAGCTCCCTGCTCATCCAGGCAGCGATGACCACATACGGCCTATGACGAAGGACAGAGGCCCTCGGGGGAGTCCCAGGCTTAGTCCAAAATGCCAAGCCCCTCTTTGGCTGGTACAGAAAAGCCGCGTGCACCTCCATCGAGGGCCATTTTTACTAACAACCAAGGGCTACATGAACCACTTACCAGAAAAGCAAGTTATCAAGGATTTCTCAAAGCTGGTTGTGTAAACTAGAATTTTCAAGAACTATAGTTACCAGGAACCTTAAATTCAATATTTACTAGGAAGGCTGGCTGCTGCGCAATCACACACACACACACACACACACACACACCGCTGTGCCTCCCACGTTGGGGCCACAGAGACAGCCGGGATTCTCCCAGCCCGGAGGAAGGATGAGCTGCCCAGCTTCTCGTCAGTGCTGTCTTGCAGACAATTTTTAAAAGTAATTAATAGATTGTTCAGTACAGTTTTAGACATATAGAATAATTGAGCAGATAGTACATAGAATTCCATGTACCCCCATGCCCCCACCTCCACAAAGTCCCCTCTATTTTTTTTTAATTGAGGTATAATTGACATATAACATTGCATTCATTGCAGGTGTACAAAATAAAGATGTGATATGTGTATACACTGTGCAGTGGTTACTACAGTAAGTTTAGTTACATTTTCTTCTTAGAATGAGTCGTTTTAAGATCTACTCTCTCAGCAACTCTCAAGTATACACTACAGATTAACTACAGCTGAACCTGACATCACAGAACTTACCTTATAACTGGAAATTTGTGCCTTTGACAGTCCTTACCCATTTTGTCCATTCTTTGGCAATCACTGATCTGTTCTCTTTTTCGATGAGTTGGGTTTTTTAGATTGCACATATACCAGTAAATGAGCTCATGCAGTATTTGTCTTTTTCTGTATGACTTATTTCACCTAGCACAGTGCCTTTGAGACCCATACATGCTGTTTTATGTAGCAGGATTTCCTTCTTTCTAATGATTGAATAATATTCATATACACTGAGTGGCCAGATTATCATGATCTCTGAACACATAATAATCTGGCCACTCAGTGTATATCTTATATAATAACAAGCTAATATGCAAATTGTCCCCTTGACCAGGAGTTCAACCAGCAAGCAGGGTGGCCAACCACCCATGTCCCCTCCCCCTGACCAGGCTGGCTGGACCCCACCCATGCACAAATTCATGCACCAGGCCTCTACTATATATATATATATATATATATATATATATATATATATATATATATATAACATATAACTGGTTTTAACTGAACTGCCATTTTTAGAATCTATAACATGTTGATACTTGGCATTTAGTATGGTTTGTAGATCTTGTAAAATTAGGTGAGTTTAATTTTGTGCCCTAATCCACACAAGCAAAGTGCCACTCTTCTATCTTCAGCCTGACCACGTGGTTCCTTTAAGATCCAGGGAAAGCTGGCTCCACAGGATGGAGAAGAGACAATGTGGGTGAGTCAGGAAAAGGGGCAAGCTCTCCAGACTCACCAGCTGGAAAAGGTTGTGTTAAGAATATTCAAGGGATTCTCAGACCCTCGTGGGATCTGCATCAAGCTCTCAAGGCAACCTTACCTTGCTGGTCCTGACATCGCCTCCTGTAGTTCACAGGGTTCAGCTTCCCCACCCCAGCCTTCTCCTCCTCCACCTTCATGACTGTAAAATAAAAGGCGAACACAGCCTCAGTATGTGTATGACATGAGAAGCTAGGATTTCAAGGGGAAATGGTTAAATTAACATACATAGTGGGAGACTTTAATGCAGATTAAAAATTTCAGGCAAAAGAATGTATAGCCCTAAGTTTGGCTCAGTGGATAGAGCATCAGCGTGCAGACTAAAGGGTCCCAGGTTCCATTCTGGCCAAGGACATATACCGTGGTTGCAGGCATGTGCAGGAGGCAGCTGATAGATGTTTCTAACTCTCTGTCCCTCTCCCTTCCTCTCTGTAAAAAATAAATAAAATATATATATTTTTTAAAAGAATGTATAGACCAATTGAAGAAGCTCAACTATGTCCAACAAAAAGAGAACACACCTGTTTTTCAATCACCAATGGAACATGTACAAAGAGAGCATGTTTACTAGGTCACAGAAAAGCTTTAGTACATTTTGAAGAATTAAGAATTTTGAGAATTAAGCCATTTTTTCTGTGTCACAGAGCCAGGCATGATGGAGCCAAGATTAAAATCGGAATCTCCCAGATTCCTGGATCCAAGGACGGGAGGGAGGAAGAGGAGGACAGAAAGAAATGGAGACATGGGAGATAGGAGTGAGGGTGGTCTAGGTAAGCCCCCACTTTGGGGTTCCAGGCCCTTCCTTCCTAAGGTTCAGCAATCTCTGACACTCCCAGCAGCCCCCTTTTCTCTTCAGCTACCTTCCATTGATTTGAGTTACTTGTATCCAAAGAGTATTCACCAATACAACCATCCACAGTAAAATGTCACCCAAGGAATTGTGTCAGCAACACACCAGCCCCTGCCACGCAGCAAATGAAACAACCTGTAGCAGCAGTGTTCCCTACCCCAGCCCCTCTACTGCCCAACCAGCCACCGGCTATTTTCCACCCATCTTTAGATCAGGGATGCTGTTGGTCAAACATGGCTTGACAGTGAGAGATCAGATCAAAGTATCTTCTGTGCTCAGTCACTTAAGGGCCCCATTCCGCTTTACCGCCCCTGCCAGCAGCTTGGAATGGTATCTGGGCTCCCTGAGAATCCTACTGTAAGGTTAGGGACTGGGTGCCACACCCACACACAGGCACGCAGGGCCCCTGCCCAAGCGGCCTTCTCATCCCCTGCAACAAGGAGATGGAGATACAGCCAACCTTATGGATGGTCAGCACACTTTGGCCATCAAAGCGCTGGTGACCGAATCACCTGCCACTTAACACTCCCCACACCCAGCCCCCATCCACAAGGGTACATCCACTTAGTCCAACACATCCGTTTTGTTCCAGGTGTTTGCATAGACACTGGAAGCAGAACAAATAGTTCAATTGCTAGGGAAGAGGGGCATAATAGGTCCTCATTGAGATAAAAGCCCTCACGATTAGGCATCATGTCTCTGGAAGAAAATTAACTAGGTTGTACCATGTCCATCAGTCTTTTGAGAGCTTTTTCTCCCATTCTATCTTTTAAGCCATTTGACCTTATTGTATCCAAGAAAATGGGACCAGTCCAGCAACGCACCCAGGGAGCCCCTCTGAGAGCCCGAAGTAGTTCACTGAAGGACTCATCTGGGATTATTTTATAAACCAAATTGACAAGAATGACACAGGGTCATGCTGGGCTTTAAAAAGCTAAGCGAGAGCCCGGCCAGTGTGGCTCAGCAGTTGAGCATTGACCCAGGAACCAAGAGGTTAGCATTGACCTATGATCCAGGAGGTCACGGTTTGATTCCCAGTAAGGCTCGATCCCCAGTAGGGGGCGTGCAGGAGGCAGCGGATCAATGATACTCTCTCATCATTGATGTTCCTATCTCACTATACCTCTCCTTTCCTCTCTCTACAAATCAATAAAATCATTTTAAAAAGTATTTTTAAAAAAAAGCTAAACTAGAAGCTAGAGAAAGGCTACCCACTCAACATTGCACCTGCACCTTCCCTTCCACCCCCCACCCCCACCCCAGGCATACTCCAGGAGAGGAAAGACAAAGCAAGCAAACAGAATATCCCTAAGCAAACCACCAGTAACAATAACAGGTACTGCATTCAAGACCTAACAACAGAAATGCATAATGAGCCCTAACTGGTTTGGCTCAGTGGATAGAGCGTCAACCTGCAATTCCGGTCAAGGGCATGTACCTTGGTTGCGGACACATCCCCAATAGGAGGTGTGCAGGAGGCAGCTGATAGATGTTTCTAACTCTTTCCCTTCTTCTCTGTCAAAAAAAAAATCAATAAAATATTTTTTAAAAAAGAAATTTGTAATTAAAGGAGGCCAGCCATGATTCAGTTTCTACCCCAATATGTTACATTAACAGACACGATTTATTTTCCCATAGTTTTCTTGGAAAGAGGAAAATCTCAGGGGGTTTTCCTACTTTATAAATATTTCAGCCAGTCTTATAAATTTGGCAAAGACGATAGAAATGCACATGACTAGAAGAAAAAAGTCTCAGCTCCATCAGAGGAGAACAAAAAACAAAAACAAAAAACTAACTCACCAGGGTGTCAGAGGGAATGAGTCTCCTGTCATTTCTATTCTCGTGGAGTGATGTTTTGTGCCCCAAACCAGCGAACTCAAGGCACCAGGATGACTAATACAGTATCATCATTTTTAAGGAAAGGCAAATGTCCAATGGCCATTGGGAGCACCTATCCACCTTTCATGGTGTCTTCTTTCTGCGTGCGTGGAGTTCAGTCTTAAATGCCCTGCACTCACTGCGAAGCACATGTCCCTTATCTGCACAGCACTGTTCACCACCCCTGACGCTCCGAGATGCAAACTTACCTCCACAGTCTTAGCACTAGGAACCACGGCCTACGTCTCCAGAAGGCCAGTCTCCCTCGCTCTGTTGCTGTTGGATGGCAAGAAGGACACGCTGTGATTTCTAGGCTGAACGGGATTTGGGGCATGGGAGATTGACTTGTGGGCTCGAGGCGGCCAGCCATGTGACCAGGGTGGGGGCAGGCACCGTCCGGCAGGGTGAGCCTGCCGGCTCACAGACCGGCCGAGATCTTAGGCAGATGTCTTTGCTCTAAATTTCTTCTTGGATTTTAACTTGGTGATCTCTTATTTTATTTTTATTTATTTTTAACGTGGTGATCTTTTTATGGGAGTGTGAGGTCTCAGCCTGGATTCCAAAGGGTTGCTTTATCTCCCTGCATAGTTTCTATTGGTATTTCAGACACTTTTCGGATTCTGTCTTGCAGGGATGTTAGAGGTGGAGGTCTGAGAGTCCTTACCGATGACCCAACCCCATTCCAGGGTCACCCATTATTACAGGCAAGTGGTGGCTTATCCAGGAGCCGGCAGAGGCCTGGGTCTGGCATTACCTACTGAGGTGACCCCGATGGCTGGCACCCAAAATTACAACTTCCTTGAATATCTTTAACTTGTAGGTCATCACCTGTGAGAACTGCTGAGGTGCCGACAGAAGACCCTATCACATTGTAGGTGCCTAAATCTGCTCCTATCAGGATCGGACATGGCTTAGAAGTTGTGGCAATCTGTACTTGTGATCAATGTTGAGTTTGTATAAACATGTGTACTTATGTTCCTTATCTTTATCACAATCTTCATTAAATACTCCAAGGTTATCTTTTTTGAGGGATCAGGGGAGATCAAAAGCTGGAGAGGTGCCGGATCTCAAAGACTTGGAGACTTTTTGAGACCAGAGCCTTGTAAGTAACCTTCTAGTTCACTTCTGCCTCTCCACCCACATGGTCCATGCTGGCTGCCTGCTAACAGAGGGAAAGTGATAGTAATGATGGTGGAAATGGCAGAGGTGGAAATGGTGGGTGTGGCAATATGGTAATTGGGCAAAAATTGAGGTGGTGAGGTGTAGATGGAGGGAGTAGAAGTGCAGATGGAGATGGTGAGGGGTAGGTGGAGGTGGTGAGGAGTAGGTGGAGGTGGTGAGGGGTAGGTGGAGGGGGTGAGGTGTAGATGGAGGGGGTGAGGGGTAGGTGGAGGTGGTGAGGGGTAGGTGTAGGTGGTGAGAGTAGGTGTAGGTGGTGAGGGGTAGTTGGAGGTGGTGAGGGGTAGTTGGAGGTGGTGAGGGTAGATGGAGGTGGTGAGGGGTAGATGGAGGTGGTGAGGGTAGATGGAGGTGGTGAGGGGTAGATGGAGGTGGTGAGGTGTAGATGGAGGTGGTGAGGGGTAGGTGGAGGTAGTGAGGGGTAGGTGGAGGTGGTGAGGGGTAGGTGGAGGTGGTGAGGTGTAGGTGTAGGTGGTGAGGGGTAGATGGAGGTGGTGAGGGTAGATGGAGGTGGTGAGGGGTAGTTGGAGGTGGTGAGGGGTAGATGGAGGTGGTGAGGGTAGATGGAGGTGGTGAGGTGTAGATGGAGATGGTGAGGGGTAGATGGAAGTGGTGAGGGGTAGATGGAGGGGGTGAGGGGTAGATGAAGGTGGTGAGGGGTAGGTGGAGGTGGTGAGGGGTAGGTGTAGGTGGTGAGGGGTAGATGAAGGTGGTGAGGGGTAGGTGGAGGTGGTGAGGGGTAGATGAAAGTGGTGAGGAGTAGATGGAGATGGTGAAGGTAGATGGAAGTGGTGAGGAGTAGATGGAGGTGGTGAGGGTAGATGGAGGTGGTGAGGTGTAGATGGAGATGGTGAAGGTAGATGGAAGTGGTGAGGAGTAGATGGAGATGGTGAGGGGTAGATAGAGGTGGTGAGGGGTAGTTGGAGGTGGTGAGGTGTAGGTGTAGGTGGTGAGGGTAGATGGAGGTGGTGAGGTATAGATGGAGATGGTAGAAGTCTAGATGGAGGTGGTGAGATGAAGATAGAAATGGTGGAGGCAGAAAGGTGTTGGAGGAAGGGATGAGAAGACCTCTTAACTGATGAAGTAGGAGATTCGTGTGACCTGCTGCGAGTATATAAAAGAATAAAATGGTGAAGCCTTGGCATTAGGAGTCTAGTGAACCTTATTCTGTCCCCAGAGCTGTGTGGAGCAGAGCTCCCGCTTAGTAAATAGTGGCTTGTTATGGGGAACTCA